TGAAATGTTTTGTCTAACCCTTATCTTTTGCTGCAAACTCTAGAAAGAAACGAATGTCATCTTCCTGTCAGCTGTCCTGTGGTGTTGTGTTTGGAGAGGAGGTGGTGTTTTGAACCGCACTAGCTTTGAGCTTCATGTTCCCTTGTAGTTGTACCTACATCTTCAGGCTGAAAGTGACACTGCAGACCTGAATCTACTTCCTCAGGGAGAGTATAGAGAAGTAGAGCTGAGTTTGGTGACCCGGTCTCTGCTCTGTGTCCAGGTGCATGTAGATCCTTATCGTTTGATTCGCTCTGTCAAGTCTGGACTAAACAGGCAAAAAAAATCTCCTGTCTGTCATATCAATTAACTTAACAACCTGTGATGGAATGGCTGTCAAGCGTTTGTTTGGCACATCAAACCCTCTGACTCTTTTGCTTTCTCTCTTTCTTTCCATCCTGTTTTCTGTGGCTTATCTCCATCCATACCCATTCATCCTCTGGCTGTTAAACATGGGCAGAACGCTGTTTTTTAGATGCCATGGATGTTCCTGGCCAGCTATTTTCGTGGATGTGTGTGTGACGTTATGTGGGCGTTTCTTCAAAGTTTCTTCAACGGGCACATTTATGTCCCAAGGGTTGGTTTTTGTTCAAATTAATTTAAAAAAATTAAATTAACTTTTTTCCCCAGTTTGTCATATGAAGGTCACTCTCTCTTGGAAAATGTTTCAAATGTCTTCATTTTCCAAAATTCTTATTATATGCTGATTGAGAGTAATTTTTACCTTTATATTTAAATGATAAAATTGTTTCATATAATTATTATTGATATAATTATTCATATATGAAACAGGACAGTCAAAAGACAGAGTCGAATAAACACTAACAGTTTTATATTTATTAAGAAAAAGATTTTTGTCTATTTTTACACAAATTAAAATGATTAATTCAAACTGTCAATTTTGCCTCTAATAATTTTTTTTAAAGTTAGTGTTTTTGGTTTTCAGACGTGAGTGTAGAGCATAATTGAAATAAAATATGAAACGTGATATGTGAACAAAATCAAGGTGAAAAAAAAATAGCTTTTATCAAATATTTTTATTGCACTTAATTTCCAATCAAGCTCTAATTTCGTCAAGTTCATGTTTATGGCTTTCAGAAATGACAAATACCAGATTCAGTCTGTAATGCATGTATATTTTCTGTTGGCAGACAAATCAAATTAACTAGTCCAAGTGTGTAAAGTACGAATTTATTTTCTAACAGAGCCAATAGCACCCGTACTTAAAGAAACACCTCGGTATGAAATGAAACAAAATGAAATGGGGCAAACAGAGAAGCATCAGAGAACTGAAGGAGGGGTTAATTCTCTTATCTAAATTCTGAGCTGTGGAGGATTAATGTGGGCCGTTATGGAAAGAGGTTGTGGCTCTCTTTTGGAGGAGGCTGATCAGAGCGAGAGAGCGAGCGAGACAGAGAGAGGTGACCTTCAGCATTCTCCATAGTCTTTACAATAATGATGTCTGCTGGGATTTCTCATCTCCACTCAACAAGATGCCCCCATCGCCTTCAAGGTTAAAACAATTTCAATAGACTTTGCATCTGACATGTTCGGCCTGAAATTGCATGTACGTTTTGCTCTTGATGTGTAATCTTTCGTGTTGTGTTTGTTGCAAGAGAAAACTTTTTGCCGAGAATGGGCTGAAAATTGGTTCCCAATGCAGTGTGTTTAATCACATGTCCTTTGGAAAATGTACAAATCTAGTTATATTAACAGCTCCCAGTGTTTTAAAAAATATCAAGCGTTTTCACTGTAGGAATGGGGTTGACTGTCTGTCCATTGCACATTGTGTTCAATTCCGCTGGATTCTTCCATGAAAGGCAGGTGTCAACTCGTGCTTGGCTGACCTTCACCTTGTTTTGAAACAGTAATTGTTCAGGGCGCTGGACTGTGAAACCAATTGGTCTTCCTGTAGAGAGTACAAGTTTTGCGTTCAGCATGTCTGTCTTAATCTGCTCAGTCTGCACCGACTGTTGACCAAGCAGTAGCGGCCATCAGCTCTACACTGCTGTCTTTGCATTTCAGTGGGTCAAGTGCAAATGCCACGGGAGGGTGGGTTTGCTGATTTTGTGCATGTTGGGGAGGGGAGGGTGTAAAATATGATGAAAAGCAATAAGCCGTTCTGCCCTGCAATCAGCAGCCGCTTAAAGCTAAAATCAAGGCTTACGCGTTGACGATCAGAGAATATGATGCATGAATAGAGGTTTCTGATTTCTTTTCGGGTTGTCTTTCGTCAAGCCGTGATTAAAGTTGTCCTGATGCAGTGTCGCTGCATTTTGGAGACAATAGTTAGCCATTTTGCTTCGGGGGTTTTTTTGGACGATGAGATCTGATTGGCTCTCCGTTCGGTCTGATCGGAGTGAATTATTGCGCCCTTGAGATGAGCTCCCTGTGAAAAGGAATCTTAAAGCCGGAGTCAGTGGTGATTCATCACTTTTCCCGAGTTCTATTACACATATAAAAATCCCCTTTCATCCCATCTCTGTTGGCTCTTCAGCGGTATCACATAAGATTAATTAATATTGTAAATCTGCTTTATTACCATTTTTAACAGCCGGATTCATAGAGATGTACCCGGCCACTTTTCCTTTTTGATCAAACACAAAGAAAGAGCAAAGACAGGAAGTTAAGGACTGAGGAAGACTTTTCTTTCTGACATGAATTATGACTATGATTATGAATGAGAAAGCTCATGCCTAGCCAGACTTTTTAAACTTTTCGTTCTTTTTCTGCGAAGCCTGCTGGTCATTGTGTATACCTTGAATAGAAGTTGTAAGCTTTGCCAGCACACTAAAAGTGTCAAAAATACTCAGCCAAGCATTTACGCTTGTCAGAGAAAGTGTCGAGGGGAAAGTGGTCTCTGAGGACATGAGAGAGAGAGATTTTGCTTTATAAAAGGCTTGAACAACAATGAACACCTTAAGAGAAGTAAAAAGCTACCATTTATAAAGATTGACATTTTAAAATGGTCTCCTCTTGTAAAGACATGATGAGAAACCAAAATGAGAAAATGAGTTTTACCTCTCTCTGATCCTATGCTACCCTATTCTGGTTTATTTCATATGTCTAGTAAATTGGTTGTCTTCTAGATCTAGTATTTGTGTAATGCCTGCTACAGACTATAAGATCATTACAAATCACACTGTACATTGATCTAATAAACTTGGGTACGACATGTATGTAGACTGAACGATGATGTGCTAGTGGTAAACAAATAGAGCATGATGAATTGCACTTTGGCAATTGTGGTTTTTATGTGTGCTGAAAAAAAAGAGGAAGGAGTGAAAGAGGAGAATATGAACATGGTCATGGCTAGGGAAAAGAGGCCAACTTGACATGTCAATTTTGTAAATGGAGCTTGAGGTTAAGTATTAGCGTCATTTCATTTTGCGTTTTCATTGGCTAGTCAGTAGACGTAGGTCGTAGCAGCCAACACACTGTGAGATGATGATCATGCTAAAAAAAAGAACAAGAAAGCACCATAAAAGGGGTCCGGTCAGTGGTCCACAGCTTTGTGTGATGCACACAGTCAAAATTAAAGTTGTTTCTCAGTGTTAAACTCTGAGACCGAGTCACTGAGTTGAACTAGAGAACCGAATCAGTCTGATTCATGAATCATTCAGACCATTTTTGTGAGCTTGATCAACTAATTCATTTAACGCCTCTCTGTAGTAAATAATTGTATCACTTAAAACTCATCTTTGATCACTAAAATGGCATATTTAAATGTTTTTTTCTGTGAAAAAAAAAATTCTTCATGCCTTAAAATAGCTTGAATGCAACTACACCCAATTGTATCATTTAGTATACGCGGCTGCATGAATATGATATTAGCCCCGCCTCCACTCACACAGCTCACAGATTCACTCGGCCAACTTACTGAGGTAAACGCTGCACAATGGTATCGCTCTTAACAAAATCGGACACATAATGTAATTAATGATTAGCCTTTTGCTTGACTATGTGATTAAACAGCTAATAATGTGTTGCTAATGTTACACAAACTATGTTCCCGGTCGGTATCTCAGAGTCAGACAGTTGCTTTCTAACAATCATCAAAAACGCTTTGAACAACTCAGAACGTCAGTGGAGAAAGGCATATATATTTCATCATAACATCGTAACATATCATACACCCACTATATTGCTAAATCTACCCGATTTTTCATATCAACAAAAAAAAATACCGGGATAACCTGGCATCTCTCGAGACTCCCCAGCTAGTTCGATGTAAATGAAATGAATGTGAATGAATGCTAAAGCCCGCTGGCACATTGACCTGATTGGTTACAAGGTAGTTTGTGATGTCAGAAACACCAGCGATTTCAAAACGCTTTTTGAGACTGTCTTTTTTTCACTGCAGTTTTAAGGTGAAAATACTCAGCAATGGTGTTGACTTTTTGCACATGGTTTGTCTTAAAGCACATTAAAAACACCACAAAGACATACAAACAATATTAAAAACTTGATTTTCACCTCAGGGTTTACCTCACCTTTAAAATATCCCAAAGATAATGATTGATTCACAAAATTTGTATGACTAAAGAAGATTTGGATAGTTGTTGAGTAAAATGAACCACCTTTATAGTACACAAGTCAAATAAACCACTTTTATGGTTCTTGTTCACTTTCATTAAATTTATTTACAAATGCCTTTGTGTTCCGCAGATGAAAGAAAGTTACACAAGTTTGGAATGACTTACACAGGAAACCAATGACAGTGTTCTTTTTTTTGGGGTGTACTGTTCCTTTAAATGTTTTGTTCTATTTCACTGAAAGTTGTCCATGTTTATTTCCCTCCATGATTGCTTTGGCAATGACTCTCAGACTGGTTCATAATATTTAAGGGATATTAAACCTTTATGTTGAAGTTTTAACAAGTTATAACAAGATTATTGATATCCTTATTTTCAAAGCCATGCTTTCTGAAATGCATGTGTGTGTTTGTGTGTCCTCCACAGGTCAGTTGGCAGTAGGCACATGTGAGATAGTGATGTTGAATAGAGACAGCAGTCAACCCAAGCGCACTATCGCCAGGCAGACAGCCCGCTGTGCCTGCCGGAGAGGACAGATCGCTGGCACCACACGGGCCCGACCAGCATGCGTGGACGGTGAGATGCAGCCCACACACACACATTCTCACACACACATATATCCGCTCACAGCATGCAACAAGCCACATCATGTCGTTTAACTTCACTGTTTAATTTGCATTGCATTGTTTTGTTTTTTTGTCTTGTGTCAAAATCTTGTATCACACAATATAACACAATAGTCAGACTTGCTACATGTAAAGAAATGTTCCTCTCTGCAGTGTGTGCTGTGTCAAAGTCGAGGACGGCTGAGGATCGGTGAAAAGGGAAAGAAAAAATTGAATCTTTGGATTGTGATTGTCACTGTGGTTTAGGAGAAATATTTGAGCTTGTCTGTTCTGCCGAGCGGCGGATATGGCGGAGGATCTCATGGGGTTGGAAGCTTTCAGCTTTTCTTAGGTTGTAAACCTGAATATGATGGAAGTCGTTGTTTTTGTAGCAAATAAACCCAACTCTCCTGACAGCTGGGGTCGTGTAGCTAGTTTCTTCTTTGCGATGGTGTTTTTGGTAATGCTACAGCTTGAGCTCTTCAACGACACATTAGTAGCACTTTGTAACGGCAAGACCAGAGTAATTAACCAAGAGAGTACCATAATTACAGCTGTGGGAAATTGATTTTTATTGGCTTTCTCTGCTGCCTTCATGCTCCATTAGTAGTGGATCCATTAAAGAAGGACCTGTTGCGTACACACACACACACAAGCTGTACAATTACAGACAACCCTATGACAGCTGTACAGAGACAATTAAAGTTTTAAAGAATGTAGAAATTACAATAAAGGTCCATCCATTAGCATCTAGTCAATCTACCTTCTACTTCTCATCTGCTCATCATATCTCCTGCATTATGGAGCTCAAGGACTATGAAATTTAAAATGGAAATTGATTTTTTAAGTGAAAATGTATGAAACCATAAGTCAATGTGATTTCAGCTTAATTTACATGGCATTGGACACACACATGTATGATATGTATGTGTATATACGTGTATATATATATACCGTTCAAAAGTATGGGGTCAGATTTGATTTTTTAAATATTATGTTCAATATTATGAAATGTTAATACAATTTAAAATAATTATTTTCTATTTGAATACAATTTAGCATGATCTTTCAGAAATCATGCTGATTATGCTTATCATGCTAATGCTGATTGAAAACAGTTGTGCCGCTTAATATTTTTGTGGAAATTATATTAATCAAAGAACCCTGAAAATAATTCATCTTAGTTAAAAAAAAAACAGCATGTATTTGAAATAGAAACCTTTTGTAACATTATAAATGTCTTTACTGTCACTTTTGATCAATATAATGCATCCTTGTTGAATTTCTGTTAACTTACTGAAGCCAAACTTTTGAATGCTAGTCTTTCTCTCTGTCTGTCTCTCTCTCTCTGTCTCATCCATCCATTCATCCATCCATCCATCCATCCATCGACAGACTGATATTTTTAGTGGTGGTGCTTTAATTAGGGACTGATTTGTTGTTGTTTTCTGTGCTTCAAGTTAAAATGACCAACTTTTAAAAAATGCTTCAGGGCTTCTGGTTAAGATTAGTCAACAAACTAGTCGACATGCCCTTCAGGCAACCCACCTATATTTATAGTTTTGCACTCTTTATTAAATGATTTTCTAAAATAGAGAAAATGAATGGCAACATATTTCCTGAACCCATTGCTGAGAGAGTGTGCGCTCACTCTTGCGCTCTCTCCGGTTAGATGTCAGTCTGCAGGTGAGGCTGTGTCTGGCAGATGAGTCCGGGGGGCAGATGGTCAAGGGTCTCGGGAGCGAGGGAGGGCATGCGCGAGTCGGGTCCCTGGAGACATCTGAATCAGTGTAGGCGTGCTGGAGCCGGCTCAGGTGTTGCATGCGCACTGAGAGACAAATTGAGTCATGATGCAGAACAGAGGTGCCATGGGAAACGGTGTGTGTGTGTGTGTGTGGGTGTGATTCATCCTTTTTTTAAGCTGGACTCCACACTAACGCACTGGTCAGTGGGTGGTATCTTTTTTAACATGCTGGGAGGAACAGGAAATTATCTGGTTTTGTGGGCTGCTGCGTGTTTATATTGATTCTTGTTCCACTGCTTTTCTGGGGAGATTTTGCATAATCCTGCCCCATATACAGTGACCCTGAAAGAGAAAGTATTCTTGTTCTCTCTATTTGCAAGCAGTTAATGATGAGTGAGTTTGGAGCGGTGGCACACGGCTCCCCAGGAGGCCATGTGTTCACTGGTTGCCTCTACAGCGGAGAGCTCAGCTCAGGAGCCTCATCAGGCTTCACATGAAACAAATAGGGTACGAAAATATCTGCTAAACTCCGTGTGCGCTGTAATCTGCCCGTGTATGCTCCCTGTGTGGCCTAGTTAGAGCACTTCACTGTACCCAATGAGACGTGTGTATTTGCATCTCACATGCATTAATGGTAATTAAGGCTATATTCTTATTTTACATTAAAGGCTTGTTTTTAGATCAAGGCTTTAAAGGCAGCGATGGATCAGCACCTTTTCGGTTGTGTTTATACAAGGAGTTTCCATTTTAGGACGATATGAAAAGGGAAACGGATTTTTCTGGAAATTACTGAGGAAAACTGGTTTTGAATATCAGAGAAATCTGTTCTAGGCCAGCACATATAGGGCATGTATGAGTACTTGTTAAAAGTCAGTACTAGTTTGAGTACCAGTTCAAGTCAGTAGTCATTACTAGTTATACTAGTATGTGTACCAATTCAAAGGCACTTTTAGTGCCAGTGTGGGTACAAATTCAAATCAGTACTATTGCTAGAATGACTGCTAAATCAAAGTCAGGATTGGTACTAGAATGTGTGAGAGTTCAAAGTCAATTTTGTTTCTATTACGTGTACTAGTTTAGTCAGTATTAGAGCTAGCAGGCATACTAATTCAAGGTTATAGCAGGTATGAGTAGAAGTGATGCACCGAAATGATTTTTTTTTTAATCAAAACCGAAAAATGTATATTTTCATTAGCCAAAAAATAAAACTTAAAGGAGCTGTATGCAAGATTGTGGCCAAAACTGGTACTGCAATCACTTTCAAATTACTGTAGAGCGGTGCATCCCCTCCCCCTCCCCACTGACTCGAGGTTGCCAGATAGGCTGCAGGATCCAGCAGGAACGTAGGCTGCTACAAGGAGCTTTCAACTAGAGCAGAGCTGGCAACCCGGATGCCGAAACACTACTGACTTCGTGATTGGTAGATAGGTGGAGGGTGGGGCTTCAGGCCAAAACACAAGATGACAACATCAACATCAGTTGAGGGCTGCAACTTCACTTTTTAAATGACAATATCCTGGCCGGACTACTGTTGTCAGTGATATAAGTATTTGAAATGTACATGATTTCTTAATGTCTAGAGACACACCAGGGCCATTTTATGATTAATTGAAAAACATTTCTTACATACAGCTCCTTTAAGTTTAATTAGTAACCAAATAATTAATCGAATTGATTTAATAATCAGTTCTTAAATAAAAAAAATGAGTTGGATATAAACATTTAAACTGCATATAAGGTGGTTTTATATCAACCTTTTATTGATATAATTGTGTTGAAATTTTTAACATTTATATGGTGGCTGTAATAAAAACTTGTTTTCATGACGGATTTGTAGGTTTAGATAGTAGGTTTAGTAAAAAGTCAGTACTATTACAAAGACAAAGAGTGCTGAATATAATTCAGTATTAGGGCTAGTAGATGTACTAATTCACAGTCAGTTCTAGTGCTAGTTTGGGTACTAGTTCAAAGTCAGTACTGATATGCAACGTATCAGAACTGGTTATGATGCAACTGGTTGCATATGCAACGGTTCAAAATGAATTTTGTAGACATACTAATTCCGGTCATTTCCAGTGCTAGTATGAGTACTAGTTTGAAGTCAGGACTAGCACTAGAATGAGCACTGGGATTAGTGCAGAGCCAGATCTAGTGCTAGATTGCAATGTGTAAGTCCAGTAGTGAGTACTTGTTCAAAGCCTTACTATTAGTGCTAGGAGGAGTATTAATTTAAAATGTTTTAGATCATAGATAGTACTTAACTTGCAATGAAAAATCAATACTATTTCAAATATTCTACTAGTGCTAGTATGAGTACTAGTTGAAGCTAGAATAAGTACAGAATTAAAATAAAAGATAGTATTATTTTTTACAATGAACAATACAATTTACTAGTTCAAAGACAGTACTAGGGCTAGTATGAGTTCTACAGTAGTTCAGATCAGTAATGGTACAGTATATTTACCTAGTATGAGCTCAAGTTCCTTATCAGCATTATTACTACACTGGTTTGAAGTTTTTTATTTAAATTTCAAGTCTGTTCTGAAAATATTATGAGTTTTGCTTGTCACGTGGATTTGGTACAATAGTATCTGTTTCACATGTTGGGCCACGATCATCCCCAAGGAGAGCATGCCTATAGTGCTCAGGTGCTCTGTGTGCTTTCAGCAGATATTTCTCACAGATGTTAAAACTAGTCCACATACCCCAGTACTTCTTTCAACTAGATTCCAACTGGAGTGTGTAATCACAAGCGTCACCTCAGTATAGCCATTCCTCTGCACGAGGCATCACGGCTCAGACACCCTGACCGACTGTGCGCTAAATACCTCGCTGAAGCATTCCAGCTTCATTTAAGCCCATTGATTTTCTTTAGCGCTCTTTGTTTTCTTTCTTCATGGCCCAGTTGTATTTGTGCTTTTGAATACTGTCCCTCGGAGGGAGGCTTGTTTATGTGATGTGGGATGGATTTGATTGTTTTCGGCCCCCCGGGGACTGGAGGACTTGGATGAGATCTGTAGAGCTGGCTCGGCCATCCACAGCTTTTGCTCCGGATCGGTTTTAAGGCATAATCCTTCATTTCAGCGGCACCACTTTACTTTGATAAATTCAGGGATGGAGCTTTGATAACGTTTTCACACACTGCCAATGAAAGACCTGCTGTGTTTCAGATCGAGAAAATGGTTGTAAACATATCTTATGCGTCTGGTGACAGGGAATTTCTAAAAAGAAGGCGAGCCTTTGTGCGCAGAAAATTGCATGGACAGAGTAATCAAGGAACGGAGGTCTCACAGCGGTGGTATATTAATGAAATTGAGGATTTTGTAGAATTTAAGGATAATCTAAATCCTGGAAATGCATTCTGTGCACATCCATGTTCAGTTTCGTTTAAGTATCATAACTTTGTTGAATTTCTCGTTACATTTCTTCAAGGAAATAAAAATAGAAACCAAAAATGATTCAGTTGTTGACTCATAGTATGATTATAAAAAATTAATTTGTGTATCTGAACTCATTTAGCTCTGGAAGAAATTGATATTGACCTTGGTATCCTGGCAAAGCTTGAGTTTGAGATCTTTTCTGATTCCCTAGATGTACAAGAGGAGATAACTATGGTACTTCTTTCAGAAGAAACATCTGAGAAGCAGGAGTAATTGCTATCCTGGAGAAACAACTGAGATATTACAGGGATGTCATTTGTCATTGTTCTGTCCTGGTATGCAGGCGAGACGCAACCCCCTTCTGATTGTCTGACGCTCTACATCATCTTTGACCTGTTTTGTTCCCCTCACCTTCTGAACACTGGTTGATCTGCGTCTGAAGCACAGGAACAGCAGGGGTTTATGGAATTTCACATGTATCTTCAGAGCAAACAAGAGAACTGAAAGCGGGAGCCTCAGTGCATACACATGTCTGATGCAGCTCTCTTTGAGTTGTTTGATGGTTTCGGTTGTACAACGTGACGATAATGAAGTGTGCAGTGAATCAAGGCCTGCAGGCTGCTTACTGAAACATGCATGACTTTGCCATAATCTCAAATCCACTTTCATACACCAATCCATATTTTGTGTTGAATATAAAGGTTTGGTGGTTTTTTTTATGTCTGTTGGATCCCAAAGGGTTGTAGTAACAAAAATTGTTTAAAAAAATCCATTATGAGACAAAGGTGTATTATGACAGACGTTATAGGCCTACATGGTGTCATTTTCCAAATTTAATCATCACAATCGTCAAGAATATAGAAATACCACATTGGTTTCAGCATTATATATATTGGTTTCAATATTTAAGCAATATTTCAAATTTGAGCTTTTTTGAAGAACCAGTTATCACCTTTGCAGCTTTAAATGGTTGTGTAAATTGTCAAATATGTACTATTATTTATGATGTTGTACACTACATGGCAACAAAAGCCAGTACAGCACTTTACTAAACACCTGTTTTAATGCAGCAGTTTATTGTGTTTAAGTTGCAATTGATTTGTTGTGTTTTGATATACAACCTGGGTTTTTATTGATTTATTGGTAGCACTTTATTTTACAGTCATGTTCCCCGTGTACATACTATGTATTTATTATAGCAATTACAATAATTGGGTCATAACTTGGTACTAACCCTGAACCTACACCTAAACCTAACACTTACCCCTGTAGTTACCTTATATTGCCAGTACTTTCTTGGGTAAGTACCCTGTAACACTGTAAATACATGTACTGTAAAATAAAGTGTAACCATTTTATTTTCATACATAGCCCCTAAAGGGACATGGTGATGGAAAAAAAGAATATGAGATCGGAGAAAAAATTAAGTCAATGCTTTTGCATTCTTTCCCCTGGAAAATGTTGTGTTCGCTTTCAAAACGTTTCTTGGGGAACACAACGTTTTTGCGAGGTAGTGCAGTTTCTCTGGGAATGTGAAACTTTTACAAGCAAAAGTTTTTGGGGGAACACAAATAATTTGCGAGAAAACGCAAAACCATCTAAATAAATGTTTTCCCTCTCATTATATATTTTTCCAATCACCTTGTCCCTTTAGGGGCTCCGTACCATCAATACTGAATTTAACATTTATTTTATTTTATATTACAGTCAAATTTGAATCAGGGATAGTTCACCCAAAAATGAGAATTCTGTCATCATTTACTCGCCCTCAAGTTGTTCCAAACCTGTATAAATGTCTTTGTTCTGCTGAACACAAAGGAAGATATTTTGAAGAATGTATGTAACCAAACAGTTGGTGGGCCCCATTGACTTCTATAGTATGGAACAAAGACATTTATAATAGTTTGAAACAACTTGAGGGTGAGTAGATGATGACAGAATTTTCATTTTTTGGGTGAACTATCCCTTTAAGGCAGTGGTGCTTAAAAAAACTGCTGTGTTTGTATGTTTGTAGCCCGGATAGTGAAAAGCAAGCAGTGGTGTGAGATGTCCCCATGTTCAGAGGGCGAGATCTGCGGACTGATCTTCAATCGCTCCGGATGGACCTGCACCAAGGGCGGCGGCCGCATTAAAACCGTCACGGTGAGACACGTTCTAAATATCTGTAACATTTCATTTATTCACTTAGTTGAAGCAATGTTGCATCATTCACACCACCTGTGTTTCAGCTCATTGGATAACACGTTCTAATGACTTTCATTAACCGACATTATTTCTTTATATAATGCTCAAGAGATCTTTAGTTAATTTGCATTCCGATAGATTAGAAACATCATTAGACATCTTACATATTCATAATATATGTTTATGTTTAATGTATTGTAGTTCAGCTACTGATCTGTTAAGCAGTAAATAATGTTTGCTCATTACGTATAAATGAAAGTTATTTTGTAAGGGTTAATGTAGAGTCAGCCTATCATTATTGCAAAACAAACACTGACGGAGTGATCTGGACCACAGGGCGATGTGTAGGGGTCTGGTGTGACCCTGGGCAGGTTTATTTTGTGATAATTACCACGTGACTCTACGATATTTCATGTAAACATACACTCGAGTTGGAATTATTTTATTATGTGAGAAGAAAGACACCTCAGTGATTTGAGTGACTACTGGGAGAACAGTCAATTATAGTTTAATGGTTCTTATGTTCAAATATGTGATAGCAGAATGCGCCGATTGACCAATTAGAATAAAGTATTTCAGTGTGCAGTGTAATTAAAAGTACTACACTGAATGCAAAGCCAGTGCAAGGCATTTTCACCATTGCTCAGATATTTTACTTTTAGTATAATAGAATGACTTTTATTTTACACTTTGTGTGAATAGTATCAATAACTATTTGCATTTACTTTAAACAAGATGCTGTTCTTCTATTTATACCTGCAAACATTATTTACCACTCTTTACACTATATATAGTAGTGGGAAAAAGTGATGTCTGGAGGGGACATTTGTTTTTTATGACCCTACAAGTTCGATTAAACCATCAAAATGTGAGGCAAACTACAGCTTTTACTTGTATTATTTTTACTGGTTTTATTTTACTATACAAAAAACAGAATGCATAGAAAAACAAAAAGCTCACATGGAAAAAGCATAGATTTGACTACAACATAATCAATTAATAATATTTTGTTGGTTCTCTCGTGTTTTTGCATGTGTTCATCCTTTATTTGTATGCAAATGTTTAAATGTTTGCACAATTTGGCATATTTTATTGCGTTATCACAAATAAAGCAATTGACTCCAAGCACAACTACTGTACGCAATATGCCTACAACATTTAAACAAATTTTTGATATTTAAATAAAGGGTGAAGATGTCATTTGGTCAGTTTTGGCCACTACTGTATATGTATATATACCGTTCAAAAGTTAGTGCCAGTAAGATTTTTTTTAATCTTAATTTTTTTAAGGCATTTATACATTTTATTATGTTACATTTTTATTGTGTGCATTCGGCATGAATTGAGATACAAATTGGGGTGCAGTCTCAGGAAAGTTTTTAAAAATTCACCTTGAGAGGCTCCTACTTGTGAGAGTGGCTGTACAGGAGATGGATTGGGCTCTGTGGTGTGATCCGTTGTTTGTAATGTGTTGCGTACATCACAGGCATAAGTGCTGAGCTCAGGGGGTGTTTGGGCTGTGCTGACCCTGCAGGCTCCTGCCCCATAATGTCTTGAGTCATTCGGTTTTTTTGAGTTGCTTTGCACAAAATGACAAGGAGCAATTATGCTGAATTAGAGGGTGTTTTCGTAAAAGAAAAAGGCATATAGTGGGAAGTGAAGCTGTACATGAAACCACCTCAGTGCAGTTCTGCTCCGGTTAGAGGGGTTGCAACATTCGGCCAGAATAGCTGAAATCATTCATGTGTAACTGAGGGTGTGAGTATTCATAGGTGTGCATATTTACGGCTTTATTTGCAAAGTTTGCATGCGTGCCTGTGCTTTTTGTGTGTTTGCATGTTCATTTAAAGTAAACATGAAATCAGAATTGACCTTGTTTACTTTTTGATGCATGTTCTTGATCTTACTGTGCGTAATTAATTAGTGCACGTTATTCCAAAAAAAGTTAAAATATAGTAACTTGCGCCAGCCTTTTTAACACCCACTTTTCACAATCCAATCAATCAATTCCTGATTCATAAAATCAAGTCCTTTCCCACATTTTTATTTCTGTAGAATATCTTGTTTCACTTAGAAGTTGATCAAGTTTAAGTTGATTTTAAGATTATCTTATTTTTTCTCTGGTATCTCAATTCTTTCTATTTCTCTCTTTTTCTCACTATTTCTCTGGGCAACTTCCAAATAGCATTTTTGCACATTTGAAGGCCACTTCGGAAGGGAGACACTCTTAGTGGGCTTTTTTACAGGGCCGTTAGCGAAGTGCACATGCAAAGGAAGTCATTTAGTCATTTATGATCGTATTATAATGGCGCAATTCATTTTAAAACCTGAGCTAATTTAATATATTGCCTGCTATTTAAACCATCCACATGCACTCAAGGCTTAAATGTACGGTGGCCGCGAGAGCTCAGCGTGCTGCAACTGAAGAAAAAACACATGTAAATAGAAACAAGCGCCAGCAAATTAAGAGAACTTATTTTCAGAAATCAAATTAAGAAAACAAATTAAGAAAACATCAGTTTGACAACAAATGTGCTGCAAATACCCACAATGCAACCAAATACTCACAATGAACATATGTTCAGGGTGTTAAAATAATCCAAAAAAAAAACACCTTTCAGGTCATCGCACACACCACTGATGAGTAGACATAGGCCTAGACATTGAACAATAAGCATGATTCAGCCAGGTTCGTCACTTGTTGGGGTCCACTTGAAACATTTCTCTCCTATTTGCAGCGTGTTTCTGTATTTGGGTGTGTTGTTGCAGTGCGTTTCTGTATTTGGTTGTGTTGTTGCAGTGCGTTTCTGTATTTGGCTGTGTTGTTGCAGTGCGTTTCTGTATTTGGTTGTGAGTATTTGCAGCGTGTTTCTGTATTTGGTTGCGATGTGAGTATTTGCAGCACATTTCTGTATTTGGTTGTGAGTATTTGCAGCGCGTTTCTGTATTTGGTTGTGTTGTTGCAGTGCGTTTCTGTATTTGGTTGTGTTGTGAGTATTTGCAGCGCGTTTCTGTATTTGGTTGGGTGTGTTGTTGCAGTGCGTTTCTGTATTTGGTTGTGTTGTTGCAGTGCGTTTCTGTATTTGGTTGTGAGTATTTGCAGCGCGTTTCTGTATTTGGTTGTGTTGTTGCAGTGCGTTTCTGTATTTGGTTGTGTTGTTGCAGTGCGTTTCTGTATTTGGTTGTGTTGTTGCACTGCGTTTCTGTATTTGGCTGTGTTGTTGCAGTGCGTTTCTGTATTTGGTTGTGAGTATTTGCAGCGCGTTTCTGTATTTGGTTGTGTTGTTGCAGTGCGTTTCTGTATTTGGTTGTGTTGTTGCAGTGCGTTTCTGTATTTGGTTGTGTTGTTGCACTGCGTTTCTGTATTTGGTTGCATTGTGAGTATTTGCAGTGCGTTTCTGTATTTGGTTGTGTTGTGAGCATTTGCAGCGTGTTTCTGTATTTGGTTGTGTTGTGAGCATTTGCAGTGTGTTTCTGTATTTGGTTGGGAGTATTTTGCAGCGTGTTTCTGTATTTGGTTGTGTTGTTGCAGTGCGTTTCTGTATTTGGTTGTGTTGTTGCAGTGCGTTTCTGTATTTGGTTGTGTTGTTGCACTGCGTTTCTGTATTTGGTTGCATTGTGAGTATTTGCAGTGCGTTTCTGTATTTGGTTGTGTTGTGAGCATTTGCAGTGTGTTTCTGTATTTGGTTGTGTTGAGTATTTGCAGCGTGTTTCTGTATTTGGTTGTGTTGTGAGTATTTGCAGTGTGTTTCTGAATTTGGTTGGGAGTATTTTGCAGCGCATTTCTGTATTTGGTTGTGAGAATTTGCAGCGCGTTTCTGTATTTGGTTGTGTTGTGAGTATTTGCAGCGCGTTTCTGTATTTGGTTGTGTTGTTGCAGTGCATCTCTGTATTTGGTTGTGTTGTTGCAGTGCGTTTCTGTATTTGGTTGTGTTGTGAGTATTTGCAGTGTGTTTCTGTATTTGGTTGTGAGTATTTTGCAGCATGTTTCTGTATTTGGTTGTGTTGTGAGTATTTGCAGTGTGTTTCTGTATTTGGTTGGGAGTATTTTGCAGCGTGTTTCTGTATTTGGTTGTGTTGTTGCAGCGCGTTTCTGTATTTGGTTGTGTTGTTGCAGTGCATCTCTGTATTTGGTTGTGTTGTTGCAGTGCGTTTCTGTATTTGGTTGTGTTGTGAGTATTTGCAGTGTGTTTCTGTATTTGGTTGTGAGTATTTTGCAGCATGTTTCTGTATTTGGTTGTGTTGTGAGTATTTGCAGTGTGTTTCTGTATTTGGTTGGGAGTATTTTGCAGCGTGTTTCTGTATTTGGCTGTGTTGTTGCAGTGCGTTTCTGTATTTGGCTGTGTTGTTGCAGCGCGTTTCTGTATTTGGTTGTGAGTATTTGCAGCGCGTTTCTGTATTGGTTGCGATGTGAGTATTTGCAGCGCGTTTCTGTATTTGGTTGTATTGTTGCACTGCGTTTCTGTATTTGGTTGTGTTGTTGCAGTGCGTTTCTGTATTTGGTTGTGTTGTGAGTATTTGCAGCGCGTTTCTGTATTTGGTTGTGTTGTTGCAGTGCATCTCTGTATTTGGTTGTGTTGTTGCAGTGCGTTTCTGTATTTGGTTGTGTTGTGAGTATTTGCAGTGTGTTTCTGTATTTGGTTGTGAGTATTTTGCAGCATGTTTCTGTATTTGGTTGTGTTGTGAGTATTTGCAGTGTGTTTCTGTATTTGGTTGGGAGTATTTTGCAGCGTGTTTCTGTATTTGGTTGTGTTGTTGCAGCGCGTTTCTGTATTTGGTTGTGTTGTTGCAGTGCATCTCTGTAAATGGTTGGGTTGTTGCAGTGCGTTTCTGTATTTGGTTGTGTTGTGAGTATTTGCAGTGTGTTTCTGTATTTGGTTGTGAGTATTTTGCAGCATGTTTCTGTATTTGGTTGTGTTGTGAGTATTTGCAGTGTGTTTCTGTATTTGGTTGGGAGT